GGTAGAGCCCCTGCCTAGAATCCCCCAGTGAGGGGCTGGGGGGCGTGGCTCAGCTGTAGAGCCCCTGCCTAGAATCCCCCAGAGGACCTGGGGGTGTGGATAAGCAATAAAACACTTGTGTAGAACCCACCAGAGAGGGGCTAAGAGTTGGGTCAGTGATAGAGCAAAGGAGAGCTAGGGAATTGACAAATTCCATCCCTAACCATGAAAGAATCCACTAAGACCTAAAACCCAGCAAGTTTCCTTTCCTCACTCAAGGATAGGCCCCTGCTTGGAGACTGCCTGTTCCAACCACCCACGTTTCATTGACATTGAATCACCCCTAAGGGGTTAGTAAGCAGACTAACGACGTCAGCCTAACCCAAGCATGCTGGTTATTGCACAATTTTCAGTGTAAAGTTAATATCTTAAGGCATCGTGGACAAGGAGCTCTTAGTTAAAGGGAAAGTCTTAGTAATAAAAGATTTGTAACTGGGCATGGTGGTCAAGCCTTCAATTCCGGCACTCAGAAGACAGAAACAGGCATATCTATTGAGTTTGAGGGCAGCCTGGTCTACACAGAAATTTCCAGGACAGCCAGGGCTACAGAGAGACCCTGTCTCAAAAAAAAAAATCTGTGTGTATGTGCACACATGGGCACAAGTGTGTGTGTGTGTGTGTGTGTGTGTGTGTGTGTGTGTGTGTGTGTGTGCGCGCGCGCGCGCGCACGCGTGCGAGCCTGCACACATGTGCCTATGCACTCAATGCCAACCAAGATACAAATGGAGAAGTTGTAGTTCTCTCCTTCCACCATGTGAGTTCTGGGGTCAAACTCTGGCTTGGCCATCTCACCAGGCAATAAGTGACAACTAGGAGACTTGTCAGCCAACTACAGGAGTTGGATCATGTTCAGTGATCATTCAGCAGCAGTATCTCAGAATCCAGCCTCGGGGTTAATTAAAGTTAATTAATTAATTAATTAACTCATTGAAATTCTTACCTTCCCTCCTCTCTCCAGAGCCCCAGACCTTTTAGGAATAGCAAACTGGAAAGAACCAAAATTCTGCCCTGTAATGTTCATGGTTGTTGAACAAGCCATTGACATTTCACACAACTCTGTACATTCTATACGTAGAAAAGTGGTGCAAAGGGAAAGTTAGAAAAAAATATACAGGCAGGTAGAGAAAGCTGGGATGGGCTTCTTGCCAGGGTTGCTTCCTTTCTTGTGAGGAAGGCTAGAAGGAAATGACCCGCTCAGGGACAAATAACTAGGCAAGATGATAAGACAGGTGGACCCAGCGGCCTCATAAAAAGCTTTGCCAGACTCCCAACTCAGAGATATGCCAGCCTGCCTCAGTGAAGCCCCTCCCCACACGTCTCCCTCAGACAGTCAATTCTTTGCCTGTTCAACAAACAAACTCGGCTAACACCAGAATCTCAGGTACTAATGCAGGGGCTGCAAAGATGAATCGGCGCTGAAGATCGAGTACTGCTTTTGCAGATAACCTGAATTTGGGTTCCCAGCACCCACAGGAGGCGATTCACAGCTGACTGGGACTGAAGGTCTGGGAGAGCCCATGCCCTCTTTGAGCACGTACAAGTATACACACAAATACCACACACACATCACACACACACAAATACCACACACACACACACACACACACACACACACACACACACACCACACACACACAACAACCACACACACATCACACACTCACAACACACACACACAGATACCATACACACACACACAAATACCACACACACATCACACACACAGAAATACCACACACACAACACAGATACCATACACACACACACAAATACCACACACACATCACACACACAGAAATACCACACACACACAGACACACACACACACAAATACCACACACACATCACACACACAGAAATACCACACACACACAGACACACACACAGACACACACACAAATACCACACACACCGCACACACCACACACAAATACCACACACATACACATCACACACACACAAATACCACACACACATCACACACACAGACACACACACACACAAATACCACACACACACAGACACACACACACACAAAAATACACACACCACACACACACAAATACCACACACACATCACACACACACACAAATACCACACACACACACACACACACACACACACACACACACAAAGTAAAAGTGGCAATTTGGATTGCTTTTTTTTATAGTTTTTTTTTTTTTACTTGCTTTGCCATTCATAATTTAGCAATCTCGGACAAGTGACTTCGTTTCTCTGGGTCGCCCGTAAACGAGGCTCTTCGTGAAGATTTCACGAAATCATTTGAGCAAAACCTTTGGCGCAACCCCCCATACTGAAGCTCCTTTATAGGAGACAGGGGAGTCTGGACAAGTTCTGACAGCAGAGGCAGGTGATCCAAGAGCCAGTGAGGCAAGCGGATGCGGCTGTGAAATCCTTCACCAGCCAGCCTCTCTTTGCCCACAGAGGAACCGGACACGCCAGGCACCCTGACTGCATCAGTCACCTCCAGCTCCCTGTGGTTTCATGCAGCATAATGTGGTTTCATGCCGCGTAATGGTCCAAACACGGACTACATTTCCCAGCATCCTCTGCCAGTGAGGGCCCCAGGAGATTATGCGTCCCGCGAACCTCGTCGGAACCGCTTCACGAGTTCCGGGCCGTAATCCCCATTCATTCAGCTCCTATATTGGCTAATCGTGTCAGTTACCGTCAACCACAACCCGAGCCGGGGCTCCTGGAGGGTCTGTGGGAAGCGTCGGTGCCTGAGACAGAGCCTAAAGCCTCGGGACCGTGCGGCTCGGGACGACCCAGAGGCCTCGCAGCTGCGGACTACATCTCCCAGGAGGCATTGCGGCGTCCCTGGCA